GTAGAATCCTCTTTTGTGTTTTTCAAACACTTCTTTATACGGTCGAGAATAGCCGTTAAATTCTCATATTGTATCGATCGAGGATAGCCGTATAAATCCTTGGGTAAAGGTTCAAGGATAGCCTTTGAAATCCTTGGGGGAACGGTAGAAGATAGCCGTTAAATCTTCGTTGTAAACGGTTCGAGATAGCTGTGGTGAAATCTCGAAGTGAATCCTATTGGCAAGGGTTGTTTGCCAAACTAGTGCGGTGCTTTGACGGAGTTCAAGAGACCGGGACTTAGTGGATTCGGAAATCCTTGAGGAGGAGCCTCGAGGTACTGGAGTAGGGAGTTCCCGAACCAGTATAAAATCGGTGTGCATTTTATTTACCAACACCGTTTTTATTAAACTCCGAAAAGATTTTAAAACGCCTTATTCACCCCCCTCTAAGGCGTGGGCACAACGACTAAACCGACTAACAATAATGATCTTTTTTATTTTCGCATGCAATACGGAACAGAAGAACGAGAAAACCCTAAAGCTAGTTGCGTATTTATATAGACCGAGCAAGGTGGAAAGGGACGAAAATGGTAATAGACGGGAATTTTTAGAAGAGTCCCGCCATTTCATGAATAGGCGGGACGGGAATATTTAGTCCGCCATTTCATGAAGGGACGGGAAAATTTAGTCCGCTATTTCATGAAACCGGAAACAGTGCGACTAACACAAAATTCATCTTCCAACATCCACCCAACATGGTCCCTACTATGTTCCCTAGTACAACCCACGAAACAACCACAAAATTCCGGGAGAAACATGGTACTTTCTTAGCCCTTTAACCACCAAATAAATCCTCCTATATGCAGCCAAAGTACCACACATTATCCTTTCCCTTTGTCCCCCCTAGTTGGCTGAACACATCCCCCCCAAATCAGCCCAAAAGAATGATATCCATTCCCCTTGGTTTGCCTTTCATTGGAGACCCTACAACCACACCCATCCCTGATTTTATTCCAATAAAAGGACCTAGAACATGGCTGATATTTCAAGGCTTTGAGAGAGGATGTTGCTAGGAAGTTTCCTCATGTCTACATTCAATGTATTGTGTATTTCTTCTCCCTTCCCCTGCCTATATAATCAGGCCCTATTGCCATTGTAAACACAACTTTGAATATTAAAACTCCCTTTTACTCTTTGAGTATTTATAAAATAGTGTGACGCTATTTTAGCCAAATTCCTAATTCTATATCTTAAGAGTGGTTATCTTAAGTGTGAGTTTTAGGTTCTAGATATTTGATTAAGTGTGTCATATCTTAATTAAATACTAGAATTCAACCCCAAGTTAATCTAGAGGTGAGCATATCCTTTAGTATTAATTTGGCTCCAAATTAAGATAAGAGTGTGTTTATCTCTTATTCCTTATTTGGAATTTATCCCATCCTTTCTAAACCCATCCTTCATCCCTGATTTTCCACTCTTCCTCATAATATCAAAACCCAAAAAGAACTCCTTCACATTCCCATATTTTCATCCAGCCCATTTCCCCTTCATTATTCCA